TGCCAAACTAATCCAAATTTGAAAGGTTGGGATGTCGTTTATGAAGTGCCGCCACGTGCTAGACTATCTCCCCCAAAGGAAGAGGATTATGAACCTCACATTAACCCAGACACATATGAAGGAGAATTCTTCCAAGAGACACGTCTTTCCAAAAAGCATTTCAAGAACCGCTATACTTCACCCCAAAACATTGAAGTAGACAGCGACGGTGAATCCGACATCACCCCAGAGGAGGAACAAGAAGAGCCGGAACAAGAAGAGGTTACTTCTGCAGATGACCTGTCAATGCTTGACCGATTACGTCAAGGTGGCCTTCCACATGTTGATGCCACTGAACCCTATGAGCCCGTCATTGATTATAGTGATGATGATGATTATGCATTTATTGATGATACTGATCGAGATTATTAGTAGTGTCAGGTATTCAATTTTTTTATGTTTTACTTGATGATGATACACTTAAGTGATATACATATTATTATTCATGTCGGTATTTTTTTTATGTTGTACTAATTTCGTTTACTCTTTGTCATGGCAGGTGTTGAAAGATGGAAGGGGAGCCGACTGAGGCCAAGGACAAACGTGCCCAAATTGAAGGTGTGCAACACCATCAAGGCAGCTCCAGCTTATATCAGTTCGGGCGGAACTGGGTATGTGGTTTGCTTCATGATTCATGCAATTCATTCATCATGCTAGCTTGAGCCCTTTAATTACTAATTTACTTTGTTTCTCTCTTTCAAGCATGCTACAATAAGACGGATAAGGTGCCAGAGGGGTACGACCTGTATGCCATGGCCCACACTGCCTCTTACAAGAAAGTCAAGGGGAAGGCATGGAAAGGGGAGGACTTTAACCCGAGCCAGGGTCCCATTAATCTAGAGCAGGTGATGATATCTGGTGGCGGGAGGTCCCATGGCTCCATAGCCATTGATCCAAAGATTGCTCCAGAGACCACGGTGAGTTTAATTTGAATGGACGTTACTTGCTAGTCTTAACATTTGAGTGTCATCATGCTAAGAAACATTGGAAATGATCTTTGGTGCAGCGTAACTCCAGACAAGCATCACACGATCCTTCTCCAGCTACTGGCACGAGCCAGCCCGCTCCTACACCTCCATGATCACGGTAAGTTTCTCTAGTTTTTTGCTTAACAAATGCATAAAGACCTAGACTTAGCTTTATTTCCTCCAATATGCTTACCTTAATGACCTAGAGTTAGCTTCTTTTCCTCCAAAATGACCTAATAAGCTTACTAACCTCCAAAACCAGCCATTTTACCTAAGTTAGCTCTAAACCGATCTATACTTAGCTTTGTTTCCTCCAAAATGACCTAATTTAGTTGTAGTATGCTTAGTTAACTAGGTTTGCTCAATAATGACATGTACTTAGCTTACTTATGTAAAAAACGGCATAATTAGCTTAGTTAGCTCATAAACGATCCATTTTACCTAAGTTAGCTCTAAAATGATCCATTTTACCTTAGTTAGCTCATAAATGATCAATTTTACCCAAGTTAGCTTTAAAATGACCCATTTCACCTAGATTATCTCCAAAATGATCCATTTTACCTAGATTATCTCCAAAATGATCCATTTTACCCACGTTAGCTCTAAAATGACCCATTTTACCTACGGTAGCTCCAAAATGACCCATTTTACCTACGTTGGCTCCAAAATGACCCATCTTACCTACGTTAGCTCTAAAATGATGCATTTTACCTAAGTTAGCTCATTAACGACCCATTTCACCTAAGTTACCTCACAAACGATGAAGTGCTTCTTCTTCTAGTCACCTTTTCCTAACTTTCTTATTTGCCATTTTGCAGATTTCATTCACTTCTCGGAAGCTAGCTTGCTATGATGGAGTGCTTGTTTTTTATTTCATTCTCTTCTAGTATTCTTCTAGCTTGCTATGACGGAACTTGCTATCTTGATGAAACTTTGCATTGTAATATGTATGTGCAACTTCCTAATGGTTGCAACTTATGTGTATGTGCAACTTGCTATGTACGAATGGATGGAACTATATATGTATGTACGATGAAACTTATGTGTTGGATATGTCATATGTTTGCTGTTAAATAGCCCTGTGAAATATATATATATATATATATATATATATATATATCATATATATTTGCTGTGAAAATTGTTGGATTTAAAAAAAACAGAAAAAAGAGGCAATGCATGATCTTTGCCGTCCTCCGCTGATGGCAAAGGACCCTTTGCCGTCCGCCGCGGACGGCAAAGAAGACACGTGGCGGCCACCTGTGCTCCCTGGGAGCTGACCCATTTGGCCAGTTTGCCTACAGTGGCAGACGGCAAAGGATCACCACATTTGCCTACAGTGGCGGACGGCAAAGCCTAGGTGGGCAGTGACGTCCAGCTGACGTCACCCGACGGACGGTAAAGGCCAGATAATTTTTGCCGTCAGCAGCTGACGGCAAAGGCTGCCGTTAGCCATCTAACGAACTAACAACGTATTTATTGCCGTCAGCTTTCTTTGCCATCCGCTACTTATGGCAAAGGACCCTTTGCCGTCAGCCTCCGGAAGCAGACGACAAAGTAGCCAGCTCTTTGCCGATCCTTACTTTGCCGGAGCCTTTTGCCGTCCGCGGCAGACGGCAAAGGCCTTTGCCGTCCGCCGTTCCTGCCTTTGCCGTCCGCCCCGGTGGACGGCAAAGTAGATGATTCCTAGTGTACAAAGCAGCCATAAGTATATAGTAATAACGGAAATTCCATATTCACGGAAACGGAAAGTTCCGTTTCCACGTCAGTTCACCGGAAAACACCGTTCAGTTTTTATTTCCATTTCCGCATAAATAATTCCACTTCCACTTCCGTTTCGCAAATTTCTATTTTTGTTTTCATATTTCCTCTCCATTTCCATTTTTCCTCCGGAAAAACGAAAAGTTTCCATTTCATTTTCATCCCTAACCGAGAGCATGCACCGTGCGACAACTCTTTCCTTGCCTTGCTGCCAGTTAAAGTGCATGTCACGGGAACTATACTACATTTTTTTCATGATAATATGTGTCTTATTTATAGTATATCATGAGAACCGTAATACAAGCTATGTAAATACCGACCTGATAAGACTAAAAAGACAGCAGGACACCAGACAAGAATGAAAATTACAATCGAGACTGAAGAATCCCTTGAGCTTGACATCATTGCCTATCACCTGCCTTTGACACTACCACAATAACCACCATCACCTGAACTCTACGCGGCTCCATTGCTGATATGCAGTTTTGCAGACCTCCAAGGTGGCTCACCAAAGGAGAAGTCATTGCTGTTCAACGAACCAGACCGGGGCAACACTCCAGACACACCGTCGAACTCCAAATCTGGCACCCCTGAACGACTAGGACCTCGAAGGAGAAAACCATACTTGACAGTCACGAACCACGAGGGTCAGGAAGGAGATTGACTGGTTCGACCGGTCGGGGGTTCCCGGCATTGAAGAAGAGGGCACGTCGAACCGAGGTGGCGGCAGCTGGTCAAATTGGGTGGAATGGGCCCGAAGGAGGAAGAATGCTCTTTGTCGCTGGATGCTGATCCGACGGACGAGAAAGAAGTGATCGAAACAAAAAAAAACGAAATCCAGTCGCCGGCCTAGCTAATATATCACCAGCCAGCCAGAGACAGTGAGATCAATCATGTTTCGGCCGGCAAGTTTGTTTATTTATAGGACACGGTGCATATAACGCGAGGATTAGTGACAGGCTCAGCTCACCCCCATTTGCCACTCGTGTCCTTATTTGGGAGGGCCTCTGCGAGCCAAGCATCGCGGGGCCATAAAACGAACCAAAGCCATGGACACGGGCGCACCGACGCTCTCCTCCTCTCCTCTCCTCTCCTCTCCTCTCCCAGCCCGACCTCCTCCACGGCGAGCGGCGGCAAGGAGATAGAGATCGTCGATGGACGGGCACGCGGTGGACGAGCTCATCCGGCGGCTCCTGGACGGGAAGAAGGGCAAAGCGCCCGGGAAGAAGGTGCAGCTGAGCGAGGCGGAGATCCGGCACCTCTGCGTCACCGCCAAGGCCATCTTCCTCGCCCAGCCCAACCTCCTCGAGCTCGAGGCCCCCATCAACGTCTGCGGTGAGTCGAGTCCCGTCGTCGCCGCCGGAGTCTCGTCGCCGGAGTCATGCATGCATTGTCGATCTCCTTCTCTTGGTCATGTGGTCGTCTTGTCCCTTGATCTTAATGGTCGTTTGGATTTGTGGTCGTCCGGTCGTGACTCACGAGTGGCCTGGGGCCTTCGATGCTCATGATGAGAAAAAATATTTCAATTGGCGTAAAAAATCAGGTGACCCTCGAAATGGCTGAAATTTTGGCAAATTCGAATCATTTCCGAGAAATCCGTGTTTTATTGTTTAAATTTGGAGAGTTTTCAATTCAAACACATATACTATAAAGGAGTGTGTAGCGCCCTTACTACATAGGGGATCCGGCTTGCCTGCTCCCTCTTCATGCTCCCATCTGTGCTCCCACTTCATCCTATGGCTGTCTTTTTTTCTTTTATCTTTCTAATCTAATCATCTCCCCCCTGATTTTAAGGGAGTGGGGCCGCGCCTTATTTTGTTCCAATCAAATCAACCCACGTAGGCGGGAGCACGGATGGGCACACACGAGGGGAGCAGGCAAGTCTCGTCCCTACATAGGACCTGATATGGTCTTCTACTGGTGAGTTTCGTATGCAGATGTCTGATGTTGGCCCAAGTTTGGAATGCTTGTAATTTTTGCAAAAAAAAATAAATCACTATGAATTTATATGTACAAGATATGAGCCTTTCGGCGTAACAACTTTAGAACCGCGGACTAGCTAGGTCGATAGCGATCTAACTACCATGGCGTTACTGTAAGACATGTTGGTTAGTGAGATCTGAGGTTCTTATTACAGCCTCGAAATTTCATCGAAATTTTAAACCTAGGTTGTGCCTCCTTTCCTGGTCGTCGGTCGTGGTGGTCTTCTTCCCCGATGATCGTGTGTGCCTTATGTTACCGACAATTTCAGTGCTTGCAGAAAATACCTTGCCGAAGACCGCTTGCCAAGTCTTGAGTGGTGATCCTTATGTCGTTTTAGTTTTGTCGTGCCGCTTGTTTGGGGTTGTGTCTTTCTTTAATTTGTTGTTGCATCGGTTTCTTTCTCAATGAATATACATACATACTCCCTCCGTTCAGAATTACTTGTCGCGAAAGTGGATGTATCTAGATATATTTTAGTTCTAGATACATCCATTTTTGAGACAAGTAATTCCAAACGGAGGGAGTACATCTCTACTGCATGGTTGAAAACCAAAAGAATAAAAAATTGACGTGCTTTTATGCATGCATGCATGGGTACTTACGTACGTGTCAGGCGACATCCACGGGCAGTTCTCGGACCTGCTCCGGCTGTTCGACTACGGCGGGCTGCCGCCGACGGCCAACTACCTGTTCCTGGGCGACTACGTGGACCGTGGCAAGCAGAGCATCGAGACCATCTGCCTGCTGCTGGCGTACAAGATCAAGTTCCCGGACAACTTCTTCCTGCTGCGGGGCAACCACGAGTGCGCCTCCATCAACCGCATCTACGGCTTCTACGACGAGTGCAAGCGCCGCTTCAGCGTCCGCCTTTGGAAGCTCTTCACCGACTGCTTCAACTGCCTCCCCGTGGCGGCGCTCATCGACGAGAAGATCCTCTGCATGCACGGCGGCCTCTCCCCGGACCTCGACAGCCTCGACCGGATCGCCGAGATCCAGCGCCCCGTCGACGTGCCCGACCAGGGCCTCCTCTGCGACCTCCTCTGGTCCGACCCCGACCGCGAGAGCCCCGGCTGGGGCGAGAACGACCGCGGCGTCTCCTTCACCTTCGGCGCCGATAAGGTCGCCGAGTTCTTGAACAAGCACGACCTCGACCTCATCTGCCGCGCCCACCAGGTAATTACAAAGGGAGTACCTAGAACTCATCTAGATGAGATATAATTTGATCTCATTCACTGTAAAAACAAGAACAGATACAACCCACGTCAGAACACACACATCTTATAGCATCACATCCAATGGCTACAAAAGGTGAATGAGACCAAATTATATCTCATCTAGATGAGTTCTAGCAAAACTGAATTGCGAACCTCTCCCCTTTCCTCTCCTCTCCATCCTCTGTGCATTGTCATTGACGATTCTTGGTGGCATGGCGATGGAGGAACAGGTTGTGGAGGACGGGTACGAGTTCTTCGCGGACCGGCAGCTGGTCACCATCTTCTCTGCGCCCAACTACTGCGGCGAGTTCAACAACGCCGGCGCGCTGATGAACGTCGACGCCAGCCTGCTCTGCTCCTTCCAGATCCTCAAGCCCTTGAGAGCCAAAGCACAGACGGACTAACAGAGTTTTCATATTGTTAGAGGCTCGATTAGAATTATGGAGGTCTCATAGATTTGCATGCACATATTTCTCTTCAAAGATCCGTGGTTCTTTTGGATCATTTGCTTGTAATTATTTATATATGTGTATATAGTTATATAGAAGCATTCACGTGATCACGTCCACTAATAAAACTAATACAGCCGTCGTGTCGGCCCTATCAGCATAATAACTGTCAATATGGCAATTTTGACCGAATATCTCACAAGCTCCATTTCCTATAGCCACGGATGAATATCACTTGGCCCGCAGCCCCCAGCCTTCACTTCCCTCTCACTGTCGCCACGTCGCTTCCCGCGTGTCTGGACTAGGTGCTGCTCTCGAAGGAGGAGGAGTGGATCATAGACAAGGCGGCGACGAAGGAGGAGGAGAAGGATGGCCTTTACGTGCTGGAGGCAGCGGCCGAGGATCCTGCCCTCGATGAGTGTCCGGATTGGAATTCGAAACCACACGCCATCGAGTTCAATTCACGTGGTGGCTATGAGCTGATTCCGCATCAGCAGGAGACACTACTAGGAAAAGGGATGCTAGTGGCGCACCAGTTTTGCCTACTAGTGGCGCACTACTAGTACGCCACTAGCATCACGCCATTAGAATAAATTCTAATGACGCACCACTGGTGCGTCATTAATATCTGGTGTTTTAATGACGCACCACGTAGTGCGCCATTAGTATAGCCCACAGTGCGCCATTAGAATGCCTCCCAGGGGCCATATGTACCCATGTGCTTTGGCTTACTAATGGCGCACCACCAGTGGGTGATGCGCCATTAGTGTGATTATCACAGTGCGCCATTAGTGTCTTGTGTGGTGCGCCACTAGTATGAATATTATGGATGATTTTTTTCTTTTCTGATATTTTCACAGGTTACAAAATATATTATTGAACATAATTTACACAACACCACACAGCAACAGCAGATTCATCGAATACAATAGAAGATTAGTCTCCGAATACAATTCATCATATTAGTCTCCGAATTCAAAAGACCGAACAAAGATAGAACATTAAAAGTCTCGAGACCGCGAGTAGCGAGTTTGTCTTCACATTACAAGTCGATATCGATCATCTAAACTACCATCACATAGAAGAGAGCTTCGGTCATCACGATGAGCATCATCGCGATGAAACTGGTCTTCACCCGGTTCCTCCAATGCTCCCTCCTCTCTCCCGCTAGATAGCGGGCGTATCTAGATTCCGCCTCCGCCCTAGTGGTGTACCCTTTGTAACTGTTACTGCTGAAACGGTGAACCTGTCTCCGACACTCCTCCCAGTCGTCGTAGACTCCGGGAACCTTACCCTTGTACACGGCATACGACGGCATCTCTATGCACAAGCCAAACAACAGACAATACATAAGCAATAGATAAGTATGCAACAAAAGGATCGGAAGAGAAAAGCAAGACATTAATAGCACGATTCATGGTCCTACTAATAAATAGCATCGATTACATCTAAGTTGAACGACTGTCCAAACTAAAGAGACATACAAGTTCATTAAAGTTTAATTACAACATGAGCTAATCGATGTTTCAGAACTACAAATAGCATCACTACTTTCGACTCGACTCATGGGACCGGAGCGTGGATGAAGCCGCCATCTTTCATGATGGTCATGAAGTCGCGGGCGTTGTCAGCCTGCATTTGAAGTGTTGTGTCTATCTCACTGTTGGACGGTTGCTCTCTGAGGTAGAACTGCCCCGAGGTACGAAGGACATCTTGATGGATGATTTCTGCAAACTTCGACTGGATGCGAAAGAATTCTTGTCGGAGGTCCGCGTCCTGGATTGCCACCAAGCTTGCGGCCCAATCTTTGACATTATTTGGTAGCAGAAGGTGATTATGGTCCCGTACGATCGCCCTCATGTGATGGAGGGCGTAGTAGGCATCCTTCTGACCGCCAGGCGGCTGCTTGACGCAGGGGAACATCGTATTGTGGGTGAACACGTGCCTGCCGTACCTACGAACTGGCCTCTTAAAGGTGCCTGTAGATGTGGCGTAGCCGGGGAGAGCATCATCAAGAACTTTCTTGATATTTGTGTAGTCTATCTTGGAGTCACGGTCCGGGTCGAAATACGTGGCCGTGGAATATTTCGGGCTTAAGAGGATGAGTGTGCAATGTGTGTCACTGCACAGAACACGGAATGTTAGAAAAAAAACGATCAAAATCTAAGAAATCATATGTTACGGGGCGGTGAGGGGATGACTTACTCGGGAAAGTAAGGCATGAGGAAGTTATCCTTATCTGGGTTTACCAGAATGACGCCTTCGAGGTGTGAACTCGCAACTAGCCGGTCCCCAGCGCTGCCCAAGATCTTGGCACACATGTAGAAGGGGTCGACTATCACGATGTCCGGGGTCTTGTCTTGAATGATCCGCATCTCCATACTCAGCGAAAACAGCCGAACGAAGGTGTAGTGCAGCAGATGAAGATTAAACATAGTAAAGATGTCATCAAACCGCAGGACGATCGTACCCCCAATGGCGCCATCCACAAAGCCCTTGCCCTCTGGCACCTTGGTCACGAAAACCGGGTATGCCACATCATTCTGGGAGAGACGCATCTTCTCCAAAGAAAGAACGCTGTCATGCAGACTCTGCATAGCACCAGTTGCAGCATTGAGCATATTTGTCGGTAGCATCGCCCTACCCGCCACATGCACCCTCCTCGAGATATCCTGAGGTGAAGGTGGCCCGTCCTGAGCACGGATCACACTCGGTGCCAGCTGGCTCGCACCGGCGCCCTTGGCAGTCTTTCGTTTCCGTCCCTTCTTCTTGATCTGCTGTAATGGGACTAAATTCTGCTCACAGACCACCTTCTTGAGCGTGTTGGGGCTGATAATATTTCACACCTCAACTATCTGAGGCTCGGTGAAGGCGGGAGCTAAAGGCGTCTCCTGAGAACTGAACGCCAGACGATGCCTGTTGCAATTGGATTTCTCCGCCGTACCAGCTAGATCGCGGTCGTCTTGGTTGGGTTCTTGAGAAGGAGGCCCGCCGAACTCGTCACCGTACCCATGTTCGGCAAAGTACTTATCAACGTTGGTAAATGTACCTTCATCGTTGTCGTCGTCGTCCAGATCCTGTGCCATATGCATGTCCGGATCCTGTGCCATAGGGATGTCCGGCATGTCCGGTAGCGTTGCAGCGTTCTTGCCATGGCGCGGCACCGACACGACTGGCACTCTTGTCTGTGGGGTGGTGTCCCCCTCCCCTAAACGAATCTGGCTCTTCGGCCAAAGCAGGGGCCAGCTTAGGCAGGCGCTGAGGGTCATCAGATCTTCTTCGACGGCCCCGGCGGGTCGAATCGGAGGTAATAACTCGTCGCAGCCTGGTATTACCTGAACCAGTTGAACCCTATACACGGTGGGTGGCATCGGTTTACCGTGGAACACGGGGTTGCTCGGTTGAACGATTTTGCCCTTGGCGACATCGACCAACTCGTCGTTCACGAAGTGCAGGAGAGTGCACGGAACGTCGGCGGCGCCCTGCGAAAACATGTAGGGCGTCAGGGATGCCCAGTCAAAGACAAAAGGAGATGAAGTCCTCGGCCGAGAGGCTTAATTAGTTACCGTGATGATGGCGTCGAGCTCGGCTAATGTAGAGGCACCGCCAACGGATGGCGTGCAACTGACGGAGGTGCCGCTTGCTGGCGAGGTGCCGGCCGGCGTACACCCGGGCGCATTAAGCTCCAATGCCCGTGCCGGCGCCGGAGACACCAATACCACCGCCACCGGTGACACCAATGGCGCCGCCGGAGACACCAATGGCGCCGCCTGCGCGTTGTGCGAGTTGCTGTCCGTGAAGCTGGGAATCGGGGGCGGCCCCTGTTGGCCACCCGCAATCCACGTCGTCAGCCCATGAATCAAGGTAGGCATAATGCCGGTGAGCATCGTTCCCAGTTGTTGTTGCACTTGCTCTTGGATAATCTCCGGAATCCGCGCCACTTGTGCCTTGAGTTCTTCAACCTCGTGCGACTGGCTTTTTGAGCTGGTCTTTTTCTCCTTTCGCCCACCAGCGGTATAGTATGACAACCATTTTGTGGACAAGCCTTTGCCGGCCACACGACCAGCTGACGACGGCTTACTGAGCTTATCCTTGTTTTTCATTATGTTCAACGCCCTATTTAGAGTGCTGTCCCAAGCAGGGGTGCTCTGAGACGATCCCACGCTACTGCTTTCAGTCTCCTTCGCCAGAACAAGCTCAAGCGCCCTGGTCTTCGGATCCGTGGTAAGCTCCTTTGTTGTCGGGTCCTCCTTGTACCGGGCCCTGACAAAGTTCCTGGTCTGCTTGTCACTGCTGTGTTTCTCGAAGCGGGGCGGTAGGCCTTGCTCGGCACGCTCCGCGTCCTCCTTGTCCCATATAGGCTCCGCCACTCTGTAACCGCCGGGACCGAGTTTGTGTTCCCCTAAGTTCAACTCCCGCATTTCTTTCCCCCACTGACTTGATTCGGAGGTTGCACTGCTCTCGCACTTGATCTTGAACTCCTTGTAGTCATCTTCGCTGATCGAAGGATTTTTCGCCTTGATCTTCTCATAACTATCACCTTTCTCAATCATTCTCTTCACCGCGCTTCTCCAAGTAGTCAGGGCCGTGCTCATCCTCATGAGGGCGGCACTGTTCACTTTATTCCCTGAGAGGCGTGTGTTTTCAAATTCAGCGGGGAACTTGTATCGTTCGTGCAGCTTCGTGAAGAGGAGGTTGCGCAAATTCCCTCGGTCCTTATGCCTAAGGTTCTCGGTGTTGATCGAGATGGTGCTCGGGAGAATGCACCCGAGCTGAACCGAGTACCCCTTGACTATATGTTTGGGCTCCGTTGGATGCCCGTCGGAGTCCACTTGAGTAAATTCCTCCTTGACGGCATGGAGCGCGTTCGGGCACCGGTCCTTCGGTTGGCTGCCATCTGTGCGTGCGCCGCCATCATCAGTGGTGGCATCCTCGACGGCACCATCAGTGGTGTC